AAGAAATGTCATCGATTAGCTTGTAGGATTTCTCTAATTTTGAATAACCCGCTTTTATTAAAGGATGTCTACCCTAAAAAATATGTTCGCCTCTTCAATTGATATCTAATTTTAATTTGAATAACCCGCTCGTATAAAAGCATTTATACAAAAAATTTCCTCAAAAGTATGTTTGCTCTCTTCAACTAACTACAACATGATTAAGCATTAACTACAAATGATAATCACGCTCAGTCTTTGCATGATTTGAGATTAATTGTATTTATTGTAGTATTATGACCACATGGAGGCCTAACAAAGCCAGCTGCGTTTTGTACTTTATGATTCTCGCACGTGAGATGAACAGTCAAGTCAAAGGAATGTGGGTATTTCTTCTCCAAGAGTTAAGGATCCTAAATCATTGGGACCTGTTATTGTCATTGTAGCTAGGGCTGAGCGGTTTGGTCCAAATCGAAAAAGCTAACCGAACCGACCCGAAAAAATTAGTTTTAAGAGTAGGACGGTTCGGGTCGGGTTGAAAACTTTTCAATCTGAACCGACCGAATACCCCATGGTCTAAATACCCATTTTGCTCAAAACCCGACCCGTCCCCAAAGACAAAGTCTCAGACTCTCAAACCCTAAATACCTAAACTTCCCTTCCCCCTTTCCCAACCGCCTCCTCAGTTCTTCTCTCTCACTCTCTCTTACTACTAAGTCTCTCACTCTCTCTCACTCCTCAGTCCTCAGTTCCATGGTCCACCTCTTCCTCTTCCTCACTTCCACAGTCTTCATGGCCGAGGCCGAACCATCTCCTCAGGCTCAGGATCTGTCTCCGGCTTTGGGGAGACACCCGCACCCATCGCCGTCGCCGAGGCCGAGATATAAACTTTATCTTTTGCTCTTCTTCAAGCTTCTGACAGTGATTATTTTTTAATTTTGATTTATTTCCTTGGATACAGCAGCTAGTAAGTTGAGATATCGACCTATCAGTTTCCTGTTCATTTATGCACTCCTGTTCTCTTATGATTTCTGAGTTTGTGCTTTGATAACGATCCTTATGAGACTAAACTTCTCCTTCTCGACCTGATATAGATCTCTCACGGAGTCAAAGTTCTGTACAAACGAGTGGTCAATTTGTTTTCTGGTATATATGTTTTCATGGATGTTGATTTTGTTGATTTTTTCCCCTCTTGTTTTTTCCAAATTAAGTCGGCAACCACTGAAATACTATTATTTAATATTCATGGGATCCCTTACCCGTACGTTATATTCTATTTGATTTAGCATTTGGCAAGTCTACTGTTTAAGTCATTCTGAAAATAAAGTTAGAGCCGAACAAATCGAACCGCACCGCACCGAACCGACTTGCAACAGTTCGGTCGGTTTTGAATTATATGCGGTTCGGTTCGGTTGTTCAAAATTTGGTAAAAACTGACCCGAACCGAACCGTGCTCAGCCCTAGTTGTAGTCGTTGGTTTGAAGGAACTAATTAGTTTACGATGCATGAGTTGACACCTAGTATGGAAATGGGCCCACACGCCAAAACCTTAGTAAATATTGATTAAGTTATTATTAGTAGCAGGAACATAAAATCGACTCTAATTTCATTTTAGGGCATGTTTGTTTGCATGAAAATAGCAAAGAAGTAATTGAACTAGAGAAAGTTGTGAGTGGGGGGCCCAACCACCACACGCGAGTGCTGAGTCCAGCGGACAAAGAAAACAAAACGCGTGAAAGAGTGAACTTTGTTTCAGAGGCCCACCCGATACGAAAGTGATATAAATAAATGCAGTGGCTCCTAGGTTTTCGTGCGCAAGGAGTTTATTTGGTTTTTGCGGCTACAGAGCGCGTGCAAAGGAATTGTTTTTATTTTTTCTTCGGCTGGGCTTCGTGCAAGCGCAAGCAGAGGGGTTTTGAGAAGAAAAAAAAACGCAGCAGCTGTTTGTGATGGAGGAGTTCTTTTGTGTATCCTTTGAGAGAGTATTTGTATGAGGGATTTGAGAGTTTGTGTGAGGGTTTAGATTGAGTGATTGTAAACCCTAGTTGTATCTCTCCCTCTAATAGTAGATCTCCCCCTCCTTGCCCCGTGGACGTAGGCTATTTGCCGAACCACGTAAAAAATTTGTGTTCTTGCCGTGATTTGTAATAGCTTGTAGGTTCCCTCGACGCGCAGTCCTAGAGCTAACGAGAGGAAGAGCTGATATCTCACTTTGATGAGATATCTGGCTTTTGGTTCTTGTTTCCTTTGAGAAACGAGAATTTCATTGTGATCTAATCTCTTGTTGTGCACCTTGCGCACCGGAGGTGCTACCGAAATTTCCGCTGCGCACAACAAGTGGTATCAGAGCTCCGGGTTGGACTTGGGAGCTTGTTTGAAGGATTCGCTGAAGGATTCTTATTTGAAGGGTTAGATCGACATTATGGGTGAAACAAGCACATCGGGATCGTCTCTTATGAAGACGATACATAGTTTGAGCATCAATAACATGAAGATTGATGTTCCGAAGTTCGACGGCAAGATTAATTTCGGATTGTGGAGGTGTCAGGTGATGGACGCCTTGGACGCTCAGAATTTGGAGGAGACTCTTGAGTTACAAGAGAAACCTGCCGAGATGAAAGCTAAGGTTTGGAAGAAGATGAATAGTAGGGCGTGTGGAGTTATTTGGTCATGCTTGACGCCGGATCTTATTTATGACGTGATGAACGAGACGTTGGCGAAGAAGATGTGGGAAACACTCAATGAAAAGTATCTTACTAAGAGCATTGAGAATCGGCTTCACTTGAAGAAGAGGTTTTACCAGTTCAAGATCATAACTTTGCATTAAGAAAACATATATTAATGTATAATGTATTACCATATCAGCTGTTAATCGAACCATTCCCTTGCGACTGCAAGTGTGTGGGACTTGTCTGTGCCTTAATGCCTTGAACTTTTCACTTTTGACCTGGAGACATTGGTCCTTTATCATAATAACATCTCTTAATATAAGCTAGTGATTAATTATCTCAGAAAAACATAACTTAAACTCTGGGCTTGTTTTTGTCTTGATTAATTTCTTCCAAATTGCTAAAGATGGTATGTTGTCTGGTTTGAGCTGAAGTCTTTGTTCCTTCTTCTTTGTTGCTCGTATTTGAGCAACTAGTCTTGATTTTGAGGCCCGCTAAAGACATCCCATCGATTGAAATATGATATTATTTTGCCATTCTTCTTCTAATATGAATCTTGCCTGCATTTTATATGCATGAAAGTATTATTAGCCGAAGGACTATATTGAAGGAGATTTTCATATGTTAGATAGCTTATGTAAAATGATAGTAAATTATTACCTGAACTTCTTCCCATAATACAACTTTCAGACTATCATCAAGGTTCCTCTAATCATCAAGTGTTACAGGTACATGCTCTCGTACAAGAGGGCCCAAAAACGATGACAATTGTACTAATCCGGGTCCATATGGTTCACCAGAATCAGTAAATTAAATCTGAATTCGGTTTGCAGGGTCCCTAGCAAGATTTTTATTTTTTGTTAGACCCCTTTTCTTTTTTATGCCTCTTGCAGCTTTAATTGTATCTTGTGTTGGTGCATCTTCAGCTGTATCTTTTCTTTTTTATGCCTCTTGCAGCTTTAATTGTATCTTGTGTTGGTGCATCTTCAGCTGTATCATCTTCTTGGACCATATCTTCTTCAGGAATATGAATATTTGGAACTGGTCCATCTTGGGGAGCTTCTTGATTGACTTGCGTAAGGCCTTCCATGGCATTCACATCCCTCGCATAATTATCCACCTAGAAGAAGTAGGTACTCCAATTAAACTATCATTAATTAAGCTTTCATGAATTTTGAAATTAAGCTCTACAAAAAATACCTTATCAGTTTATCGAGTGCCTGCATGCAAACATATCATCATCGCATGATAGTGCATTCCAATACATTTTGTCTTCTTTTTTCTAAGTAGTATATACCATTGAACATTACAAATTATACATATTGACAGCTTAGTGAGGATGGTCCTGGTGAGGAACCTAGTGGAGACGAGATGCTTTCTAGCTTCAATGAATGGATTCTACCTGCTAAAGAACTTGATGGAATGTGGGAAATGTTTTCATTTAGCAAAATTAGTTTATTAAATCCCCTAAAAACTGTAGGACTCATGATATCTAATAATTTTAATTATCTTTGCAGCTTAATTTATGAAACTGGCCTCAAACGCAACATCTCCAATTTAGCTTTCTGCAACCTCCACTTTTTTAATAATGAGCTTACAGCTTACCTATATTTGAAATCATCATTCTGATATGACTGTTAGATCCAAAAGCTAAAACTGATGAAATTATACTTGTTGGCATGTCTTGTTTTCCCAAGAAAAAACAAGAAAAATAAACAGTTCTTCCTTTTACGCTGAAAAATAGAACAAATATAAAAAACTAAAATTATAAAAAGCAGAAAAGGATAATATAGGCATATGATCATGCGATAACTATACCATAATACTGTTCTTTCTTTTACGCTGACCTGTCTTTGTAGTCTCACCAACCATCCTCGTTTATCTGTATTAGAAAAAATAAAGGTAAATATCTATATAGTTAAACCTGGTTTCATATGTGAAACAAATTATACATATATCAAAATCACAAATAAACAAAGTGACACACATTTAAAGCATGAACAACACCAAAATTATTATAAAGTAGCAGCCAATAATACAAGATAAATCAAACACTTTAAAGTATGATCAACAATCAACCTCCTTACCAACTAGTTCCAATCACACAAGTAGTCCCTCACAGTCCACCCTGACATAACTCTCTGTCTCATAATCATCAATATCCATTTCAATTTCCTGTGGCAAAAAAGATGCATCTGCATTCTCATCATCTGTCTCCAACTCATGGTAACCTCTTGGTGGTGCCTTCATTACTACATACCAATTAGACGAATCATCTTCTCTTGAATAAAAAACCTGTTTTGCTTGAGATGCTAGGATATATGGATCTCTTGCAAATGATACTTGACTCTGCTATAAGTTTACAAGTGTGAATCCATCTTCTTCCTTAACACCATTTCCTTTATTGGCCCAATGACACTTAAACAATAGAACATAAAATAGATGGTAGTCTAGTAAAATGATATCTGTCAATATTCCATAATATGAATCCAGATGAGCCACTTGTGCAGTATCTTTTGCACTTGCTCTACACATAGTTATTGCATCATAAGTCACCCCACTATTTTGTGTTTCCCTATCAACATCCTTTGTGTGAAACCGTAGCCCATTGATAATGTATCCCTTACATGATAGTGCACTCTTTTTAGGACCATATGCCAACCATCTTAATGTCTTTGAATGATCATTCGAGTCAATAGGAATCTACAAAATATTAATATAAGAGTTAAATGGTGTACCTCAGCTAAGTAATAAATACAAGAACATGTTTGAGATGATTAATTTTAAATAACCTTATTATTTTTTGTCCATTCTACAATTTTCTCAGTATGTCGCTTCCAAAGTAAGGTCTGGTTTTTTTCAAGCCGTTTGTCTTTTACTTAATAGAATAATAGAACACAAGACCATATGAATTATAAAATAAAACTAATAAATAGAAAAGCAAACTAAATAAGTACATAAAAATAGCAATGTACTTACTCTAAAAATGGATCCATTATTGCTGTGTTCAGTAATACTGAACGATGTGCAATATCTTTCTCTTTATCGGTAAGTGTGATTGAAGTAGTCTTAGATATAGGACGACCTTCAAAAATGACATCATTTTCAAATTCTTCATTGCGAACTTCTTTTTTCTTCACATGTATTGACTGTTTTAGAAACTCGCTACAAAAGTCGATGCACTCTTCAGCTAGGTATGACTCTGCAATACACCCCTCAGGTCTTGCAGGATTTCAGACACATTTTTTAGTGTCTTCATGTACCTGAATAAAAGAATTTAATCTTGTCCATGATCAAATTAAAATTTCATAATGGATTTCAGCATGAAAAAGAATAATAAAAAAATCTAACCTCTCAAAAGGATACATCCAACAAAAATGAACCGGACCACACAAGCGTGCCTCTCTTGCTAGATGAACCGGTAAATGTACCATGATATCAAAAAATGACGGCGGGATAAAGCGTTCCAGTTGACACAAAGTTTCAATTATCTCATTCTCAAGGTCCAACAACTTTTCTCTATCAATAGCACGCTGGCATAATCTATTAAAAAATCTAGATAATCGAATTATCGCTTTTCTAGGCTCTTTCGGTAACAATCCTCTTATAGCAATAGCCAACAATTGCTGCATTAGGACATGATAATCATGAGATTTAAGCCTCATAATCTTACAATCCTCCAATGTTATGCAGTTCCCGATATTTGAGCAATAACCATCAGGCCCTTTGAAGTCATATATCCTCTTGCAAAATCTTTTCTTTTCAGACCTTGAAAATGTATGTGGTGCTGGTGGAAGGTACAATCTGCTTCCCCGCTGTTCTGGATGCAAGTCTTTCCTAATTCCAATATCTTCCAAGTCCTTACGAGCATTTATCCCATCTTTTGATTTCCCACTATGCAACATAGTGCTTATTATGCTCTCACAAATGTTTTTCTCTATGTGCATCACGTCTAAATTATGACGTAATACAAGTTCCTGTAAATAAAAAAATAAAGAAATACATTAAGCAATTATAAAGCTAAAACAAAATATATAAAAAATATGAAATAAAGGAAAAACAGAACACTAACCTTCCAGTACGGTAAAGAAAAAAAGATAGATCTTTTCTTCCACCTAGTAAGCTCATTCTGATTATCAATGTCACTTGTGTCATCCTCATCCTCATCATCATCACCATCATTCTCATTATTATTCCTTTTTCTTTTTTTGTCTCCACCTTTTCCAAAATCATTTGGAAAATCATTTAGAACAGCAGAAATATTGTGACCTGTTAAGGCTCTGGGCTTGCTGCCATGCTCTACACTATTATCAAACCACGATTTCTTTCTTCGGTATGGATGTGAGGGTTTCAGAAATTTCCTGTGACCCATGTATGAAAACTTCTTGATGAAGCGTAACCTTCTATGATGTGTATTTTCCCACATATAGGGCATGCTTTTCTTCCTTTTGTAGAACAGCCAGCAAGATTTCCATATGCTGGAAAGTCATTTATAGTCCACATCAACATTGTCTTCAAATTGAAAGTTGATTTGCTAAATGCATCATAAGCCTCAACCCCATTCTCCCACAACAATTGCAAATCATCTACAAGTGGTTGCAAATAGATATCTATGTCGTTTCCCGGTTGCTTTGGACCAGGAATCAGCAATGTTAGCATAATATTATCTTTCTTCATGCACAACATAGGAGGCAAATTATAATTCACAAGCATTACCGGCCAACAACTATATTTAGAGCTTAAGATGGAGAACGGGTTGAAACCATCAGTAGCAAGTCCAAGTCTGAGATTGTGTGGATCAGCTGCAAATGAGGGCCATTTATCATTAACCAGGTCCCAAGCTAAAGAATCAACAGGGTGACGCATTTTCCCGTCTGTGCTTTTGTTATCAAAATGCCATCTCAAATCTTTAGCCATTTGTGAAGACCTGAACATCCTTTTAAATCTAGGAATAATAGGAAAATATCTCAAAACCTTAACTGGAACGCCTTTTCTTATTTCTTTACTACGCTTATTTATCTTCCATCTTGAAGCACCACATGTTGGACAGTAGTCCAGTTCCTCATACTTCTTTCTAAAGAGACAGCAATCATTCACACAAGCGTGAATCTTTTCATACCCCATGTCAAATATCTTGAGGAAGCTTTTAATCGAGACAGCTGAATCTAGCAAAAAACATTGTCCTTTGGCAACATACGTTTAATGATACCTAACAACTCATTGAAATGTTTACTTGATAATCCACTCTTGCCTTTGAGTCCATACAAATCTACAATGGCTGACAACTTTGTGTAACTTTCGCAGCCTGGATACAAAGGAGTTTGTGCTTCTTCTAGTCTCCTTATGAACTCGTCACCATGTCCATGTTCAGAAGGTTCATTAATAGGTATAGGCTGAACAAGTTCTTCATCTATAAAGTAGGCAGCTTGGAATAAGTTATATGTCTCGTCCTTAGTGGCTTCATAATCAAGCTTCTCACCACTTTCTTGTTTCTCTCCATGCTTATTCCAATGTGATTTCATTCGGTACGAAAGATCCATCCCCTTTGTAACCAAGTGTTCAAAAATTGTACTTCCATCTTGATGGCTCATATTACGACATTCCGTGCAAGGGCAGAACATCCTTGTAGGAAATCCCAAATTCTTTTCAGCTGTCTTTACAAATTGTAATGCTTTTTGTTGGTACTCGAGGGTGGATCTATTATTTTTAAAGAAACAAAAATAAACTGGATGATATAAGGTATGAAGTCCCTTTTGCATGACAACTAACTGGTGGTTTCCATATATTCTTGCTGACCTACTAGCATTGGTAAATCTGTCAAACAATATTTATTTGAAGGAAAATTGGATGGAAATGGCACAAGCAGTTATATGAAAGGGTAGCATTTTGGAACTCGGATGATCAAGGGTGGCAACAAGCAATTCAGTTTAATTTAGGGAAGGTTCCCCACAAAAGAACCCGAAAAAAGCAAGGTTTAAGGACAAGGTTGGAACAAGTAACAACACAAAGACATGATCTAGGATAGATAGGCACAAGTTGAAACAAATGGTAGAATCTTTTCATGCCGTGTGCGCTCAATATAAACCTTCAATTTTTCTATGCAATATAGGCTGTTACCAGGGACAAGCAAGATCTAGACCCTATACCTCTAGCATACAACAAAGGTGTTTTCCAATAAACTACATTGCTCACTTGCGAATTTTCAAATGTTGAACAACAAAACATTGTTATCAAGATTCAAATAAAATGCATCGTATAGTCTACATATACATTCTTAGTCAACCATTAAGATCAGAAGTATGCTACGCAACCACTTAATAGCTACACAAACTAAGAAGATTTTTGATATATAAAGGGACAGTTACCAAGTGTAAGCTCCAGACAACTATCAGTCATGAGACCCTAATTCTGTATCTAATACTCTACTTTTATCCTATCAGTAGATAGTATAAGCATTTAACAATCTGAAACTATCTCCCAGAAAAATGGTGAACTGGTGCCATTAGATCATGTAACTCCAAATGATTATATGATCAGCCAAGTTGTGTATCTGACACACGAATTTGATGTGTTATCAATAGTACATCATATACACAGTTAAGAAGGCAAAGCTACCATTCAAAAAGATAAATAGGCTAAAGAGATCTTAAATGTTGAGAATCCACAACGAGCAATCTGACATTTAAGAGGCCCAGAAAGGTCAGAGTTGACTTCTAAATGACATAATCATTAGGCAACGAATCAATATTATGAACAAGCAAATAGTGTCAAGACTCAAGTCTTCCTTCTCCATTCTCTTTTGCAATAATTGGTGATTCAAGTACGAAATAGATGCAGCCTTACCAAGGGAAGCAAAGAAGTCACTCAGCACTCCAATAAGATGACCAAGTGTGAGGTTTCGATCACATATGAGACCTGACAACAGTCGAAGATTGAGTGAAATTGTTATGACTTCCTAACACCTTGAGGTTTTTTTACATTCGGATCAGACAAATATTATTCATTAATCATGCAAAAGTGACAGAAGCATACCTTCTATCTGATGAAACTCAGCAAGATGAGTTCTGTCAACAGCTTCGTTTCGGAAAACACGATCTATAGAGTAATACCTCTTGGGAGTAAAAGGCTTCTGAACAAGGCAATGCACCAATTAGCAATCAGCAGTGCACCAATTAGCAAATATGAAGTGCACTTGTTATGATTTATGCATATATCTTTTAGGTGATTGGAAGATTATGATAGATTGGACTAGGATGGCATCAATAATTTAGACTAAACAACTTTTATATACATTAAATAGGCATGGATCAAAAATCAAAAGAAAAGGGTTTTTAGATTCTCTTAAACCTTTCAGATTCTCAAATTAATCCCATGAATCTTCAAATAAGAGGGGTTTCGGAGGTGGACGAGAGACGAGGAGGGGCTCCGGTGGTGGACGAGAGATGAGCAGGGGCTCCGGCGGTGGACGAGAGACAAGGAGCCGAGGAGGGGTCTGTCTCCAGTGATCAAAGAAGAGGAGGGTCGGGTTTGGAGGCGGCAACGGCGGCGAGATGCTGCGACAACCAGTCGGAGGCGACACCGGGCGACGAGTCGGAGGGCTATTAGGGTTTGGGTGAAAGAAAAGGAACGGGAACTGATTATTCGTGGGGGGTTTTAGAAAAATAAAAGGAAACGAAAATATAACACCAATCTCTCCCTCGTTTTCAACGCGCGGTTTTATTTTTCAGTCTCCCGCTTAAGATTTCAACGCGGCTTAACAAAAAAAATGTGATCAAATATTTATAGCGTTTAAAATTTTTCAAACGCTATTAAAAAATAAGTCACATACAATTTATAGCACTGACAACATAAACGCTATCATTCAACGCTATAAAAAAACAGTTTTGTTGTAGTGAGGTGACACTCTTACTTCCTAATTTTTTCCACCCTTGAAAGCTCGGAAGTAGAAGGGAAGTGGATTAAAAGTGGGGTCCACTTAAATTAGAGATTTACTAAGGGTAGACGATCTTAAATAATATATCCAATTTCTATCCAAATAAACAAATAAATAAAAGAAGATGATGAAGTATTATTTCCATTACTTCTAAAAATATATGATATAAACAAAATAAATACTACTTCTGCTACTTTCTACTTCATAATTGAGGAAGTTATATTTTTGATCCACTTCTTACTTCTAATAGTTACGTCCATCCTAACGAGCCCTTAATAACTTTCAAGCAAAATCAGAATTTAAGACTCACACGGATAAAGAGAGGTATTCTAATTCCTTTTGTTTTTCCTACATTGTATACATTTTTATATTGTTTGATATAACCTTCTCTACTTTTAAAAGTAAAAGAAATGATAGGGGCACACCCTTGGGCACACCACCAACCACACTCCCCCACTATCTACAGTGCAGGGGCTCCACATATGATTTTTTTTAAAAAAAATCACATGTCCCCTGCACTGTAGATAGAGGGGGAGTGTGGTTGGTGGTGTGCCCAAGGGTGTGTCCCTAACACCCCTCTAGAAGTAATCAGCACAAAGCTCCCAGGCCCAACATTTATTTAATCTCTCTTTCAATCAGTGCCCACGTGATATTATAGTCCAAATAGGTTCACACATCAGATCATCATGTCGAAATGAGTAGCGGTCCAAGTGTGATTAACGTCGAGTACGCAAAACTAGCTCTAGAAAAAGTGATAGTGACTGGCATATCACTGAAGTGTGCTTGGAACTCCGTCTGTTCCAATACTCGTTTTGTGACATCACCCAATGTCTTTGTCATCATCAAGTCCGTGCTCTCTTTGTTAGATCTTGCAATGTGTAACTTTGAAAGTATGTCGCAATCTATTTGCGTTTCTTTATTTAATGATTATTAATTTATAATGACACCACCTTTTTCTCTGGAGATTTTATCTTACGACTTGACTCAGTAGCTTAAAGGTTGATGTCATACATTCAATTCGTAGAGATCTAGACTAACCGCAGGATTAATGACTACTATAATATACATCGTCGCATGCTTCTCCTCGCTTTTCCCTCTTTTACCTTTTTCTATTAATAGCTCCTAAAATCTCCAATGAGGAGAAATTGACCGATAATTGAACGTGGAATTATGATGATAATATTCCCAGAAGTAGTTATGCATATAAATAATGTTAGGGGCACACCCCTAACCACACCCTCTACCACACCTTCTCTCCTTCTATAGTGCATTGGGCCCCACATCAATTTTTTTTTAAAAATTGATGTAGGGCCCAATGCACTATAGGGGAAGAGAAGGTGTGGTAGAGGGTGTGGTTGGGGGTGTGCCCCTAACACCACTCTACGCATATATAGTTGTCCCACATGTCATATATAAGATCATGCTCCCTCTCCCCACCATTCGACCGACATCCCCATCATGAGATAGCATCATTATACCTACGTCGACCCAGCTAATCAACCCCTAATCATGACCTCCGATCTATCTTATTGGTCTGCCCTCTAATTTGATTAGTGTATCTAAATTTCTCTAAGCTTTAACAGCTATATTAAGCTTATTCATGATTGGAAACTAATCATATTGTTGTTGGTATAGTACAGTTTGAGGCTAGTGGAGGAGTTTTTATGACTAAATGCGCACATGTGGATCCTCCGTGGATTGCCGAGGGTAGGGCAGGCAAGATGTTTGGACTTGGAGCAAGTTGAAGGTTAGAAAATTCCCTATATAAACTTAAAAAAGTATGCAACTCAAATTCGCAATGATTATCGTAAATAAAGGGAAATGGACTGAGATAATAGTTATAATTAGTTTCACAGAAATATCACTACAAACAAAGCTGCAAGTTGCGACACAAATCTCTCCACACAAGTGTTTGTGTGATTGGAATGAAAAACCGCATCGAAACCGTTCCCCTTGATTCTTAAGACGGTAGTCATCAATAACCGACACCACAAAAACGTTCCTTTATGTCAGATATGCTATAGTGACAACAAAAGCTGCAAGTTGCGAGATAAATCTCTTCGCATAAGTCTTTGCGTGATAGGAATTGTAATACGTTGAAAGAGATGGCGCTAAAAACCAAGTATCACAAGTCCCGACACTTATTGGTGTCGTGAGATGATAATTAGATTAAAAAACAATAAAAAAATGGCGAACGACACTCGCGACAAAATTTGATTTCGAGCTTTTAAATCTTTGCAGACATTGTTGGGACTGTGTCTTTGATTATTTGTATAACTTCATAAGAATTAGATAGGATTAGAGATCTACCATGATTAGGAGGTTGAGTTTCATCATGATTAGGAGTTTGAATCCTATTATAATTAGGAAGTTAGGCTAGAGATAGAGTTCTGATTTCCCTATATATATTCTTCTATTATTGGAGAAAAAACCAAGCAGAAGAGTGAGAGCCAATATCCATGTAATCTAGGGTTAGCAGAGGGCGCAGGCTGATTCACGAATATTGAGCGAGAGACGAGAGTTTCATAGTCTTTGTCCGTGCAAAAGATTACATCATTGAGAGAGGATTTCACAGTCTTTGTCCGTTCAAAAAAGTGTAATGAGAGCGCTTTAGAGATAAAATGAGAGTTGATTATGTATGTGAGGTTGAGAGATTGA